AGGCGTTGCTAGATGCAAATGTCAACTAGCATCCGTATCCTAGCGATGTATACGGAGATACCCCGTTTCCAATCCCTCTGTACTCTAATATCTATGATTAATTGACCAAAATTGACCACACCCATCATGAATATTAATGAGATACTGCAAAATTTTTCGCGCGCGAAAAAGTCCCACCACCTTCATGGACCTGGTGCCCTACCAATCTTTCAAGCCCAGCGACGCCCCTGTAAGTGGTGGTCAGTCAACATCTCTGATGGTTCACCCCTAGACTTTATCATGTCCTAACCCACTCAAATATAAAATTATTATTCTAACTTTTCTTTTATTCTTAAATTTCATATTTTTCTCTATCTGAGTGTATGCATTTCAACCTGTTTTATTTCTAACTATTGTACTTCATAATAATAATAATAATAATAATAATAATAATAATAATACTAAGTCAATATACTATTTCTCTTACTCCATTATTATCAGTGACATTGATATCAGCTCCATGCTGCAGTAGTAGTTTAACTATTTCTGTATGTCCTTCTTCACAGGCAATACAAAGTGGTGCACGCTAACATACATGTAAAAATAAAATAATAATATTAATGTATCAATTATGATCATACATTTTGATCATTGACTTTAGCTCCATTCTTCAATAACATTTCAACTACTTCTTTTCGTCCTCCTATACAAGCCACAACAAGTGGTGTATTCTACATGATGATGATGATGATGATGATAATGATATTAGTAATAATAATAATATTAATAATAATTCTCACCTCTCGCTCATCGGTAACATTGATATCAACTTTACTACTCTCCTTTAGCAGTTCAACTATTTCTGCATGCCCTCCTATACAGGCTAAGACAAGTGGTGCACACTAAATGATAATAACAATAATAATAATAATAATAATAATAATAATAATAATAATAATAATAATAATAATAATAATAATAATAATAATAATAATAATAATTACTGTGATTCTTACTTTTTGCTTATTAAGGTGATTAACATTAGCTCCATGCTTCAGTAGTAGTTCAACTACTTCTTTATGTCCTCCTACACAAGCCATACCAAGTGGTGTATCCTACAGGACAATAACATGAGATAAAGGGTTGAAAGGGAAAGACTTTATGATTTGATATGAAGCTTACGGGTCATTATGATTGAATTACCCCACAAGGGCCCAAATGCTATCTACGTATTTATATGCATGTCAACAGTTAATTTATAAGGTGAGTTCTATATGAGTTTGCTTTTCGTGCATTGTGTTGACACTGGAATTGCTGAAGAAACAAAATGGTAGCATGCATCAAATGCCAAAATAGAAATTTTTGTGGTTGACATACGCTACCATTTATTTTTATAGCACTTCCAGTGTAACTATAGCAACAATTACAGAATAAATGAAGCAAGAAAAGACAAAGATAGACTTTTCTAAAGTCAGAAAGAGCTTCTATTTGTCTTAGTGAAAAAATTAGTATGCAACTGAAATTAATCTTATTTACACAAATCACTAAAGCACAAAAAATAAATTGCAAAATAAAACTGCAGTATTATTATGTCTCTTACATCATCCTTATCAGTGTGATCAACATTATCCACACCATGCTCCAGTAGTAGTTTAACTATTTCTGTATGTCCTGGTATACTGGCATTACCAAGTGGTGTAAGCTACATAAAAATAATAATAATAATAATAATAATAATAATTCTAAAAACCTGCTTCTTAGTACTCTATATTATGTTTTTATTCTTGTGGTTTTGTTCATTATAATAATAATAATAATAATGACAGTGATAATAATAATAATAATAATCCTTTTCACTGATTCGTGCAGTTAATATATGTGTTAGAGGATCTCGTCATAAATGGCAGGGGATTGGTATGGAGGATGGATATGGTATCAACCCCAATTTTCTACATGTAAACTAACTACTTAACTAGAACTATATTTTTATTTCATTTTATTTTATTCTGTTATTAATTTCTTTTTTGCCCCTTTTTGTCTGCTTAATGTCTTTTTTAATGTTATATTCCATTGCTGTTTTTTGCGTGTGTTGTTAATCTTATCTGTTTTGTTCCCTTCCCTGTTGTTGTTGCCTTTGTTTATGATAATAATAATAACAATAATAATAATAGTAATAATAATAATGCCACTCAGTCTCTTTATAGGGAGGTAATTCTGCTATGTGGGTTGCTCAGCAGCCCTATCTCTCATCCCATATTGACAGTTCCCTTTAAGGGATTCTTTTTTCATTTGTTGTCTTTTGTTGAAGTTATTTTTGGGTTTTTAAACTTTGTGCCTTTGTAATAATAACAACAACATATTCAGGCTTAACCGTTTTATTCATAATAACAGTAACAATGGCTTAATGGAGTCCCATTAGTAATTTATTTATTGAGCTTGTACTTTATGGAAAACATATATAGCCCTCATATTTGTCTGTATGCTAGTAGATACACTCATGGGAGTTTGTTAAGGCTTGCCCCAATAAAAAAAGGCTTGTTTAACTATAATCATTATTTATGATGATATGTCAATAATATTTCTCTTACTCCATTTTTATCAGTCACATTGACATCAGCTTTATACTCCAGTAGTAGTTTAACTATTTCTGCATGTCCTTCTATACATGCCATACCAAGTGGTGTACGCTAATATGAAGATGATGATATTATTATGTACTCTTGTTATTATGTATCTTACTTCTTGTATATTAGTGTTATTGATATCAGCTACACCATGATTCAGTAGCAGTTCAACTATTTCTGTATGTCCTCTTAAACAGGCATTACCAAGTGGTGTATTCTACATAATAATAATAATAATAATAATAATAATAATAATAATAATAATAATAATAATAATAATAAGCTTTTAATAATAATAATAATAAATTAATAATAATGATGATGATAATAATATTGTTTTGTGCTTATACTCATCATTTATTTATTATTTCATTATTCATTTTTCCTAATCATGTTTGTTTCAGGCCCTCTGGAGCTGTGAACAAAGTTGAGTCATTTAGCATAATTGGTTAACTGTATCTGACATAAGCTAGCTTAAATTACCAATTCAGCTTGTTTAAAAGTTGTTACAATAATTACTGTAGGGCCTCACTCTAATGTCTCTTACTTTAAGACCATCAGTGACATTGACATCAACTCCATCCTGATTCAGTAGCAGTTCAACTATTTCTTTATGTCCGCCTATACAAGCCATAGCAAGTGGTGTACACTACATAATAATAATACTATAATAATAATAATTTTTGTTCATCCTACATCTAAGTGCTCTTTCTGTTTTTATAATAACAATAATAATAATAATAATATATGTATATATATATGTGTGTGTGTGTGTGAGTGTATATTATATATCATACTAAACAGGTCTATATACAAAAATATAGACCTGAGGTGGATGTCCAAGGATGTGATATAGCCCTTGGGCCACAGTTAGTATGTTATATAGGATATATTTCATAATGATGACAGCATTTCTGAATGGCAGGTTTATATACAAAAATATAAACCCGACCACGTCAAAGGATGATGTCATAATTATGATATACATATATATATATGTGTGTGTGTGTGTGTGTATTATATATCATACTAAACAGGTCTATATACAAAATTCTCAGGGGCGTTTCTAGCATGGGGCTGAATGGTGCTTGAGCCCCCCCCTCATGGCTGGCCCGGCTCAGAAAAAAATTACTGAAGTCCTGGACTTTTGCATCACTACCAAGCCTCTTAACAAAGTTATCTAGCCCCCTGATCATGACTTCAGCAGTTTCCAGTGCTTTAAGGAGCAATCAGAAGTACCAGTATGCTTGAAAGGATCTTAGCCCCACCCATAATTGACGAAAATGCAAGAAAAGGCCGTTTTACCGCCGTAAAAGTGGGTGTGGCCAAAATCGCGGCACGCTTCGCGCGCCCTCAGCACCCCCCTTCCTCAATTCCTAGATATGCCCCTGATTCTACCATGCCTAATTGCAATTGACCAATCAGATTGCTTGATTTTAGGTTCATAAATAACTTACTTACCACTAGGACGGTTTGATAAGTAATTTCCCTGGTAATAGGAGGTTAATAAGTTTGCCCGGGAGGTTGATAAGTTTGTCCGGGAGGTTAATAAGTTTCCCTGGGAGGTTAATAAGTTTGCCCGGGAAATTACTTATTAACCTCGATCCTGCTAAAAATAGGCATGCATGCCATGCTGTTGCTAAGTGTTGCTAAGTAAACTAGTTGTTTACTAGTTTTAGTACACGGTAGAAGTTGGTTATCCCTTTTCCTTACACAGTGAAATTCATAAAAATTAGTCTTTTGGATTGGACAACTTTTTGAATTATTCATGTTGTCATGGAAACCACTCAAATCAGGTGCATTTTTGGACGCCACACCTCTTGACCACGCCCAATCAGCCATTTTGATCGTTTTTCATAGAGTATCTTTGTGCCTTTCAAGAGCTCTCAGTAGCCCTACAAATTCTATTCCATTCACTTAAAAGTACTCCAAAGCACCTAAACTGCTTGCACCTACATAAATTTTAGCTGCTGCATTTACTACAACCAGTTTCATTGCTTTTACACACTCCATTAGTGTTAGATTTCATTCCATCAATGACTCAACCAATGTCATCAACGAATAGTCAACTTTTTGCAAATAAATAAAAAAAAAATTAGTGTTGAATAGCAATTACATCAAAGTGCCGACAAAGCATTCTTTCACTTTTCTATTGTTTCCTATGGTTTCTATTTTACCACTAATATTATTCAATACCAATTTCTGCCAAGAAGGTGTGGTTTCCTGTAAAACGCACGTGTTTGCCCTAAAAAGAGGCATGGTAATTGCTTTTTTATTAATTGTTATTACCTTGTTGTAGTTCTACAACAAATTGTCAAGCAAAGAGTTATACAACTGTGTGTCGGTATCTATGGTATTTATCATACCTCAGGCCTATGGCCCTTGGTATGATAAATG